GCTGCTCTTAGAATTCCTGATGCAACGTCCAAGAAGCAAATGAAACTTTTATATTATAAAACGTTTTTGTGTCTCATTATAAGAGGTACTCTTACATGGAAGTTCAGTATAGAGACAAATTTGCGCTTGGCATCTGTAAACTATAATTTTCTCTCACCGTATGCGAGCTTTCGTTACTCCCATTTGGCCAAGTAGAACTTCGGTTTAGTCCAAGCTGAAGTTCGTGTTTAGTCAAACGAAACTTCGCGAAATTAAGCAGCACTCTTTTCACTTAGCCAAGCGAAATATCATGGAAATGTAACCGGCATTTTAGCAAACTTTCGCTGAAAGTTCGCCAGAATTCGAAACAAATTCGCTCGCGTTGCTTTTGTCCTAGTGTAATTCGCAAGACGGACTAACCTGGGACAAACAATTAGGACTGCTCTGTCCTTGTGGAGAAGATAACTCCAGGGACCACTTATCTGCTTTGTAAGTGCCTGTAAATGATGTAACTTCACCAAACCTGTTGTACACTTGTCTATACACAAAAACAAAACAAAAAGAACGTAATTATATGCCGTTTCCTATAAGTTTTGTTTTAGAAATTCAAATAACGTCCATTTGGTTCAATATTACGTACAGTACGGGGAAAGAACAAAGAAACATAATTCTTTACTCTTTGTACCAGCATGGTTGAGAAGCTTTGGGTCAAGTGTGAAACAACCGCATTAAGTGGTCAGAGCAGGACTTGAATCTGCAAAATCNACTCAGCCATGTAAAAAAATTCAGAGTACATGTACCCTTGGAGCAAAAGAGAAGTACAATTCAAAATTATTATGAAACAAGCTAGCCTGAACTTTGAGCTTAAGATACAAGTCAACTTTTATTCTTTTTGACAGTACTCACCTGAACAAAGAGAGGAATACAGTGGAGACTTCTTATAACAGCCCTGTTGTGGGCTTCGCGTGCCAAGATATGCAGTGCACCAACACATCCATCTACAATGTCTTCCATTCTTACGCCATCAATCACCACACTCTGTCCGGGTCTCCTCTGCATGTCCTGATGAGCTCGCATCATCAGCTGGACAAGCTGTGGCAGGCCTCCATGCTCACGGATTGGAGTGTGATTGAGGGGGCACAATGCAAGATTACGCATGAGGCCAACAACAGCTTTTATGAGAGGCCAGCGAGATGGGGGGTAAAGGAGTTTTACCAAGACTGGCAAGCCAAAGTGAACCCTCACCGCATTTTGAGCCTTTTCTGCATCTTCATGGCGACTTGTCAAATGACGTAGAGCGCAAACCTGTGGAAACACAACACATAACATCATGTAATCTTCACTCACACAATTCAATATCTCTGCATTTTCGCTCATTACCTCAGTTTCCAAAGTTAACTTATTCCCATGAATTGCTGTCTGCATAGGTTTTGATTTCATTGAAAGTGCTAAGTAATGTCTAAGTGAGCACCAAACAGTTCCTTACTTGCATCTGGATAACTGAACAAAACTCAACTCTCATTGAAAGAGGACAAGACCAAAGATCATTGTTTAAGGGGGTGAAGGAAGTTTTGGAGGGGTCTGTTCACACACGATCAGCTAAAGAGGATGGCAAGGTGATGGGACATTGGAGGAAACACCAATCACTGCTTGAGCGTTTCAAGAAGAAAATGCAACACTACAGATGTTGTAGTCTCTTACCGCAGGTTCAGTGATCTCTTCTCTGTCTCCAGCTTGCATGCAGGTCCTAACCAGTGCCTCGATCCCACCAAACCTGTAAACAAGTTGCTTGTTGCCGGGGTTGTTGCAAGTCAGGTTAGACAGGACACCTGCGGCACAGGTCACCACTTGAATGTCGTTGGATGAGAGCAGCTGCACCAACATCTGCAGCAAGTTGTCAAGACCTTCCTCTTTGGTTGCGGCATCTGACAGATTACGCAGAGTCCACAAGCAGTTCTGGACCAGCCTGTTACTCTGGTGTCCGAGATGCATGGCCAGTGCCTGCATACCTCCAGCCTAGAATGATTATGCAATGAGCCACGTTATATAAATGAATTTGACAACTAACATTACAGTAAACTGCCAAACACATTGCAGTGTAGAAACCCACCTCAACAATAGCCTGCTTGTTGTCAGTGTCCACAGAGAGAACCTTGAGCACACGGCTGGTTGTGAAGAGAAGCTTCTCGTAGGTATAACTTCTCATGATGCGCACCAGCTCGGCAGGTCCTCCGGATGCCAGAATGATCAGCTTGCTTTCTTTGTTGCCGTAAGCCAGCACATGAAGGCAATCTGCAAGAAACAAGCACACATCTGTTCAGCATCTGACAACTACATGTTTAGCTCTGAATCTTTTAAGCTCAAACTTGAAGTATTATATCTTAATTAAATCACTTGACATACATTTCTTTAAATGCTACTCTTGAAGTTGGTAGTTCATTACTCCAAACAATATCACTTACAATAGTTGATGAATTTACTTATTCTCACCACATGTCTGCTAGGAAATATATCAGAACTGTGAGGAGAAATTTTCTTTTAATCTGTATTTAAAACTGAAGGGTTCAATTGCGTACCTGTCACAATAGCCAAGAACTTGACATTGGTACGTCCCAGAAGTGCCACCATCTTCTGAAGTCCTCCTGCAAGTCTGACAGCCATCTTGGCACCTTCTTGGTGAAGCAACAGATTGTGAAGAGTAGTGATGGCATAGAACACTACTGCCTCCACAGGGGACCCCAGCAGCCTAACCAGAGCTGGAATGCCTCCAGATTTGAAGATGGATAGCAATCCTTGCCTTTTGTTGGAAAAAAAGAAAATAAAAAATGTATTTCAGTAATCTGGAAGAGCCAGGACTTTAAAATGCTTTGGATTTTGTGCTCAACTAAAAGCAGGTACTCGTTATGAAAAAAGGACAGCTACAATGTAAAAAAGAAGGGGATGGAAAAGAATTACAATCTGAAAAGACTTCAGATGACAATATTTACATTTCAGTGTTTACCTATGATTTATTTCAACCCAGCAATTTTTTTGGCGCCAATTCATTCAATAATTTACTCACCTGTGGTGTGACAAGTTGTGCAGGGTACCAGCAGCACATCGAGTAGTTTCCGCATCACTTGAGTTGTTCAGAGCTTTGACCAGAGTTGCCACCATCTGCGGTGAGTTCATGATTGCGTGACGACTGGCATCTTTTTTGGAGAGTTGATGCACCATCATTGCTGCTTGCCCAACCACCACCTAAAAGAAATTGTATTTCTTTCAGCTTATAGTTCTTTAAAAAACCTTAGTTAATGGTTCCAATTTCTCTTTCAAAGTAGTTCATTTAAAAGTATGTGGATTTGACCTTAGAGATTTAAGACTCAAAGAACCTTGTCCATCTTGTCTCTAGTATGCAGTGGAATCCTGTTGTTTTAGACCTCCAAGGAAAATAAAAATTGATTTGAAAAATGCGGTAATTTGAGAAATCGAGGGTCAACTTACATTGTTCAACTGAGGGAAGGGAAACAAATTTGGTTCAAATTATCAGGAGGTTCAACAAAGCGAGGGTTCGGAAGTTACAGGATGACTGCCAAGCAAACTTTGCTGGAAATTTGAAATCCTTGAACATTCAATAGTTGGACTATATAGTTTTAATAATAAAATTTTTAAAAATATATCTATGTACATAGCAAAATGTCATGTAGGACTTTTTCTTCCCCTCTAAAACAGGAGGCCTTTCTTGTTCACCCAAAATTATAATTATTTCAGAAGTGTTTACAAACCTGATCGTCATCATTCAACAGCTTCGTCAGTTCAGGAATAGCACGTGTTGCAAGATCAGCGTCATCCTACAAGCCACAAGAAAACCATCAATAACAGAATGCTGTAATAAAGGTCAACCAAAACATTGAGGTTTTGTTTTGTTTCTTTTCATGCAGAAACCTTTCAATCCCAGTCTAACT